CAGGAACTTGAATTTCCCAGATATACGCGCACTTCAAAAGTTGTAAATTTGATGTAAATATGATTTTATAAGTATCCAAAATGATATGGAAATTCGATGTAAAAAATTTACATCAAATTTTTCATTATTTTGGACACTTACTTCATATTTACATCAAATTTACAACCTTTTAAATAGCGAGATTTTTTCCAGTTGAACTGCACAATTCGAAATATTTCACCTTTCTGTATAGACTTTGGCAAAAAGGCAGCTGGATTGGTTTGTTTTCTTGATATTGAGCATAACTTGTGAAGTGATACAGCGTCATTCGTCTGGGTTTTCAATACTTTTTTTTAGGCATTGCATTGCGATAGGATTTGTTCTAGTACAATCCGTTAATAGTACACTTACGGAGCTTTGGTCGATTTGGTTTGCCCCTGAGGGAAAGAAGATAATTGACAAAAAATGCCGTCAAAATATGAGAAACAAATCGCTTAAAATCATTTCAACATATTTTCTACAGTTTCAAATTCGAGCACATACACCATGAATATTATATTCGACCTAAGTACGATGAGCTAAGGGAATTTTTGAGAACTCACTAAAGTGATTTATTTGGAGTAAGAAGAGATAAAACCGTGGAAAAAATTAAGGGAAAAAGAAAAGAAAACATTCGCGATAATAAAAAGGCGATTAACAGCCTAAAAKATTTCTTATAACTGAATAAATTTAAACTTAACAACTAAACTGCTATTTGACCATAGTATCGCCCCATGACAGGGAATTCGGAGCCGACATTTTGTCTCTGGAATTAATCTGGTATCCAGACATTTGGAATCCGGAATCTGAGCAATGGAAACGGATCCCAAATAAAGCAAGATTTATTTGGAATCCAAATTAGTACCATTTCCTAATTTTAAAGGAGTCGCTGACGATAAACAAATCTATAGGATGTTTTGTATTCTGAAAACCAGAAATCTTAGCTTATATTTAACAATTAGACCTCGAGGTCGAGTGGACTACGAGCTAATAGCCCATGAGGCCGAGTCCGCGAGGCGAATGGGCTATTAGCTCGTAGTCCACGAGGCCGAGAGGTCTAATTGTTTTAGTATAAACATACTAATCGGCCAAATAATGAAAACAAATTGAAATATCCTTAAAATAATTTAGAATTTAGAATYTATTTATTTTGATTTTCCCGCGAGTGGTCTATCACAAATTAGACCATTAGTAGAGTAGCCAATCACAGCGCAGTATGAGTGATAGACCATTAGTATGTTTATACTAAATCAAAATAGAACCATACTCTACTGGATTTCTACAGTGCTCTAATTGTATTTGATCTACACTTGTACAGGAGTAAAACAACTTAAAATTCAAGCAAAATGTTGTCCAATAACAAACATATTGCTAATATGTCAGCGACAAAAAGATCTCATACTAATACCAGTGAGGTAAGAAKATCATTGCTACAAAAATAATCACTTTTTTATAACATTCTGTCTCTAAGGATAATTAAAATATGACTAATGTTTCGCCATAACTAATAAGCAAAGTGTTGGAAACTGATGGGTAAAAAACGCAAAAAAAAACAAACACATTTTTAAAGAAAAGTAGATAATGGCGAGGGAGGTGATTGATTTTACGACTTCTTATAATTTTGGTTCCCTTGAAGCAATTACAGCTGAAATTATGTAATATGATATACTTGGATTGCATTTTAGAGTAAATAATTTGCCTTTTATTAAGTCAGAAAATTTTACCATGAAATATGAGAGCGCTATGGAATGGTAATTAAATTGAAAGTGCTGACTAGATGTGCAATTGGCGTTTGCTTGAATTTCTCAAATTACTTCWTTATAATTAAAAAACGTCTCGCCGCCTGGCTCACAGGGAAAATTTTGTTATCGCCCTCTAGCCGCTGCACTCGCACTTCTTCGCCGAGTAAAAATGAACAGCATGTCATTGGAAGTTTCTATCTCCGATTTTACACCGACGCTGCTCCGAAGCAATAACGACGCAACTCCGATGTTAAAACGACGCAGCTCCGATGTAACACCGAAGCAGCTAATGCTAATTTAACACTAATTTTCTCTTCTTTTCAAGGACAACACGAGCACYGATGAAGACGCTAAGGTCAGCTCATCACCCACACGTAAACCTCGTGGAAAGAAAATCAAGGAACGAACCAGTCCCGTTACCACAGACACTGAACAACAAAACGATAACAAAACAGGATCAAAAACTCARAAAGAGCCATTCAAAGATAAACAGCTTGAAGAGAAGTGTCCAGCATATGAAACCACGACAACTTCAACGGACAAAGTGAACTTAGAAATGAACCACAAAGAGATTATTGAAAGAGAGTCTCAAAACAGTCATAATGTTAATGATGATAGTGATGAAAAGGATGATGACGAYAAGAAAGACGACGAAAAAGTGAAAAGCGCTCAAATAAAGGAAGACACGGAAAACGAGGAGAAGAAAGAGGCGAAGAGGCTCGAAGAAGTGAGACAGACGTACGAGAAAGGTAACATTTCATTAATGCGTGAAATATAAACAAGAAAAGCGCGGTTAGTTTTCAATGTTATAGTTGTATAAGGTCTCGTTTACATGGGCTGGGATATAGCACTTCTTATAAAGTACCAATCAGAGAGCGCGATYTTTCATATCTCTTATTTTTTCACTATGAGCCAATTAGAAAGCTTCATTATTTGTATTTATCATTTAACACGTGATTATGCATGAACCAATCAGAAGACGCAATATTTCATTCTCCTATTAATTTCTTTGTCACGTGATTATGTGTGAACCAATCAAAGTGCGCAATAAACCTGTACATAATAACACTGTATTTTACTAACAGACGTGGAAATTCTCAACAACGAAATCAAAGAAATTAATAAATACTGGTCAGAGGTGGAAAGCAAAGACATCTCATTGAAGCGACAAGGTGATTTCCTAACAAATACTGAAATACCCTCACAATTTGCACTAAAATTAGGTTGCATTGGCGACTCAAAGTTAATAAACARTGCGTGGATATTAGCAAAACACTTTGCTTATTATGACGGGATAAAATAATGACAYTATTATCTCTCCAAACAGAAACGAGGAAGAACCCATTTTCATACGACTTTCTCGGAGGTAAGTAATTAAATTTGATATATTGCGCAGTTTAGAATTTACCTAATGCACGCACTCGCTATTAGGCTCAGATTTCTAGCCCCCCTTAGGGATTTTCTGCTAATAGCGCTACTYGGATTTACATCAAGAAAAACAATATTTTCATAAGATTTATGATACTATTTAGCTCATGTCATGAACAAGGAAAAATATGTGCTCAATTTCTTAGAAATTGTCCGGAAAGAGCCCACAAGAAGTGTACCCTGTAGATCACTTGCGTAAGCTTTTAAACTGCCAAAAAYCCGCCCAGTATTAAATAATACTACTTAAGATGTATTAAATTCTAACAGTACGTGCTGTTTGGCGCAAATTCAGTTCATATTTTTATTAAAAGATTGCATTTTGATCTAATTTGGGCTAGGATTAAGTGACTGCTGGGTTATTTTTATCTATTTTTCAAATTTAAGTATCTACCTCACTTGTTTAAAGGAGATATSAAGTGGTTTTGTAGATATAATTTCGTCTTTAAATAGTAACGTCTTTATATACGGGATTCGCTTTCAAAGGGAAACAGATTCTGCTGTCAAGCAGTAGAACTTTGCTGTGTTTATAGAATAAAAAAACGTAAAGAATCAGATCATCTCTTTCCAAAATGGCGTCTGCGCATGACGTAATGTGCCGCGACGCCATTTTGTCCAATCATGATTGGACTTTAAGACCTCAAGCTTTTTCATGTCCGCTAAAACAGTCCTCCTAAGCCGTTTTTGCTTTTTACATGCAAAAATAGAAAAKTTGCATTGATCCGATTCTACAAAGAAAGAATAAAAACGGCTTCTATATAAGACGATTTTTCAGRGGCTATAAAAAGTGCGAGAACTACAATTATCATGCTTTGCTGCATCGCTGAATTCTTTATTCTTACAGACGAAGTTGACAGAGATGAAGCTGAGGCTCTGGAAGCTCTTAGTCTTTACTGGTTGAATAATATTGCCAGAAAAGCAGCCAAGCCAAAGAACACAGCCATACGCGAGGAAGACAAGCCATTCTACAACAAATACTGCAATGGAACMAAAGAACTGTGCGTCGAGACGGCAATGAGATTGATGAGGTAGGTTAAGTTGATTGACAGTTCATGAAAACATTGACTGAGTAATTGAGTGAGTGACTGAGTGCCCCGGGCCGAAAATATATATATACATATATATATATACAAAATCTAGCTATTGAGGGGAAATGACTTAATATACCCATCGCACAACTGGCCTGGTGTTTCAGCGACTTCCCTATAAAGAATGGTAGGCATGCTCGACGGACGGATTGAAAAATGACCCTAAAAGGTACGCATAAATTAATTCAGGCATCGATTCCAGACCCTAAAAGGTACGACCATTTTTGACGTCTTTAACAAGAGAGAAGTTCAAGTATAAAAAAACTGTACAAAATCAATGTCGATAGATTGTTGAGGTTAATAAAATCTATTTCTTTATTAACACTTCTTCAATTTTTTTCCGTTCTTCGAAAATTGACACAAAAAGGTACGGAGTCAGTTTAGGACCCTAAAAGGTGTACGCGAGGGTTTTACTTTCGACCCTAAAAGGTCCGTCGAGCATACATACCATGTTTTATAGGGAAGTCCCCCCTCCCCCCTCCGTCCCTGGGCTGAGTACTTGCTTTCTCGTTTGCTGGATTAAATGATTTTTTTTTGTTGGTCGGGTCCATTGATTGTTGATTGGTTGAAAGATTGATTGATCACTTTGTCCAATAATTCTTCCGRTCCAGTTCCATCCATTTATGCATTTACCTATTCTTTTCTCCCGTTTTTCAGTCTACCCCACGTGGTAACAGTCACCTTGAAGTCCATCCCAAAGATAGAGGTCATCGTATCCGATGTCGCGCTCGCCTTACAAGACTCTCCTGAGCTTCGYAGTGATGACTTTGAAGTCACTGAAGCAATGGGAATGCATCTCTTTTAAAACGCAATAACGCTCTCTAAAAAGCTACGTRWTGACGAGCAGATTTCGTATCGTGCAAATTAGCGTAGAATAAGACTTTCCTAAACGTTGAGGATATTGATAGTAAAAGGCTATGAAAACTGATTAATATAGACGAGTTCTTTTATGGAGAAGTCCTCCAAAAAGGACAAAAAGAACTGGAACATCCTCGGGAACCCAGGGATAATCCTAGGTCGTTCGTTCCTCGCTAACAGGCAGTTGTGTGATGTATATATAAAGTTTTGCCCTCAATAGCTAGATTTTGTMTAGATTTTATCCGTTCGTACCCTGGCTTTCCGAGAATCCTGATGTCATGTATAAAGTGCTATTTTATAATATTGTAAATAAACATCTACCTAGACCTGTACATGATGTGGTTCAATGACCAGTGATCCCTTGAAGAAATGAAAATGGCGGGTKCGCGTCTTGAAAATAAAATTTGCAGGCAATCCACGAGTTAACAATGATCTAGTATACCGTCATGCTCTGCTCCCCTTTCCGTGAGGACTGGTAACGASGCGCCGAAAATCAAAAACGAGGATAAAATTTCAGACGAACAGCGTAATGTTTTCTCAATCTTCTTCATAATTTCAGTTTTTATACGAGATCAGATATGCTAGAATGGGAGTTTTACAGCTGTGGAGTATTCTAGAACCCGTAAAACGCACAGGAGATTTGTCCTTGTTGAATGGCAAGACTTTATGTGTCGATTTGAGCGTATGGATCTGCGAAGCACACGGAGCAAAAGGTCTCAAAACAAACRTACTAAAACCACATTTAAGAAATCTTTTCTTTCGAATATGGAATCTGATCCGAGCTGGAGTAAAGTTAGTATTCGTAGCCGACGGGGATCCGCCAAAGGTGAAGTGGGAAGCGATTTTGAGGCGTACCCAAGCAAGGAATGGCTTCAGCGCTGGAAKGGGGAAGGATGCTAGGGGCCCACCACGCAAGAAGGTGGGAAGATCTAATTTCAGAGTCTGGGTAAACGAGGTAAGGGATAACTTACGAAGGTAAACKGCCGTTATAAGGAAGTCAAAAATAGTACTTCTTTATGCAAACAATATGCTTTGATGAGCAGAGCGAAGAAAACAATCAAACAACAAGCGATCCATTCTAAAGACTTTTGAGGGGGGCGGGCATTAGACTTTTGAGGGRGGGAGGGATGGGAGATTTTGAAAATAAATTTCCTCCACGGGCCAAAGGCCCTTAAAAAAAATTCCTGAAAGGTAAAATTGTGAAAAATCTCCACTAAAGCTTTTGTAAATTTACAAAAAAAAATTGCAAGCACACGCCTGAAGTCAAAAAAAAATCTTACAATATCAACTAGATCTTCCATCCCCCTCAAAAGTCTAATGGATCCCCCTAACACCACAGGCGGAGAAAAGAACGTAACGCAATCGTACCATAACATCACACATGAAAATCATGACAGATCTATATAGCATGCCGTGATGTTACTTTGGTCTTTTATAATTAATTTACATTCAATTTCAGTGTATTGCTTTGCTAAAGTTACTTGGTGTYCCATATGTAGAAAGTGCTGGCGAGGCTGAGGCACTTTGTGCCTGGATGAATGCCAAAGGGGTAAGAAAAGGAAGAAGTAATATTTTCCTGAGTTCTTTCAGCCATCTTAAGATGGTCATGCATGCCTTCAAGTCAAAGTGTAAGGCAATTGAGTCTTGTTTTGATCAAAAATGGTGTTAGTACTTTTTGAACGTTGAGCAGCATGCTGTAGTTGGTCATAGTTCTGAATATCTGAGCATGCCGTCTGACTCTGTGGAACTGCAGATATGAACCCAATTCAATGATAGATAATGTCTATGAGTTGTGTTGTCTTTCTCATGCCATAAGTCTTAGTTTGCTTCTATCTCCAGGGCATACAATGGTTTTCCTCTCTCCAAATTGCTGATTCATTCCATAAGTCTTAGTTTGCTTCTATCTCCAGGGCATACAATGGTTTTCCTCCCTCCAAATTGCTGATTACAGCAAGTGAAATAACAATGAGAGAGATTTTGATTGATTTTGCTGTCATCATTTATTCCAACATTCAATTTTCTTGCAGTTTGTTGATGGTTGCATCACTAATGATGGGGAYGTGTTTCTTTATGGTGGAAAGACTGTCTATAAAGGTCTTTGTATCAGTACTAAGGTAAAGGAACCAACAATCTATAAGTGGCTTGCAGGTGAGCCCTAACTATTGCTAGTCACATTGACAACTTTGCCAAAACTCAAAATTAAAAACAAGTGATTTGAGTTTCTATAGCTCTCCCCACATATGTGTATAAAAATGGAATATATATATTATACATATAAATCAAATTGTAATAAATATACATTTTGTGAAATAAATGATTGATTGAGTTGATTAAAAAGCTTTTAAATTTCCTCTGACATGTTATCAAGATAGAAACACCAAAATTTTAAAAAGATGTCAATCTTACCAAGAACATGCATTCTTACAAAAATATTGGAACCTAAAACTTATTAACATGTATCCTAAATAATATTATGTAAATTATGCTAATGTAATGTAATTTATGCAAATGACATGTAAATTATTCTCAAGGAGTGTATGGTGGATTGCTACAGTATGGATGATGTTGAGGCACAACTTGGTAAGCATTGGACCCAAAGCCTAAATAATTATGTTTATCACTTTATGCGTACAGTTTTATTATGCACAATGCAACCTGAATTATCTTTAACTTATGTAGTCAAATTATCAAAACAGTCTATCTTTGTCCCAATATGATAGGTCTTTCAAGAAATAGTCTTATTGGCCTTGCCATTCTTCTTGGTTGTGACTACCTTCCCCAAGGTGTCCCTGGTGTTGGCAAAGAAATGGGACTCAAGCTTATCRATGCACTAAATGGATTTGATTTGCTGGAAAGGTTTGTGATATTGTACACTATAGAATGGGGCAAATTCAGCATTGTACATGTATGAAGGGACTGTACTCAGCATTTATATTTTAATAAGACTAGTACAGGATAGACAAAAGTCCTTGGATGGAGTAATTTCGTCCATTTACTTTGAAATGCATGTAATTTAACTCGCTTGGAAATGCAACTACTTAATATGTAAATGTATGAAATGAAACTCCAGTTAATTTGATTCACTGTATTTTGTAGGTTTAATCAATGGAGCACATTCCAGATAACTGATGCTGACATGTCAAAAATTGAAAGAAGCATTAAACAGTAGGTAGAAGTGTGCTAATGTCTTGTGCACTGAATGTTTTGGGATCCCTGTGCACTACAGGAAGCCCACAAATTGCCAACAAACTAGTAGCTCAGCCCTGCTAAACATGTTAACATATATTTCTTATTGGCAGGAAAGCTCTAAAGATACCTGGATTTCCCAACAGAGAGGTTAGATTTTGTTTTTTCTCTTAGCCTTATTACTAAAAACTGTGGAATTATTTTTCTTAGTCTTTGTGGCAGCTCTTATGGGATTAGGAGACCTAGGGAGTGTGGATTAGAATCTGCAGGAGGGGTGTGGTGAGGAGGACTGAAGATTTTGATGTTTAAGTTTCAAGGGGTGAAAGTAATTGTCAGTTATGAGCATTGCTCAATTTCATTTGAGTTTCAACTCTAAGTTTATTAACTTCATTAGGTTATCAACGAGTTCTTATCACCAAAGCTTAAAACACAACATCTTAAAATACCACAAGGATACAACTGCCCTGATGTCAAAGGCATGCAGGTAAATTATGCTAAAATTTATAATGGGCTTGCATGCATTTAAATGCATGCAAATACAGCCACCTCTAATTACTGTCTAAAATTTGACTCTGTGAAGATAGTCAGTTGTATTCCCAAGCTAGCATTCTATAGGGAATGTCCCTTTTTAATTTCTCAAYGTCTAGTTTTCTTTCCCATTTTTTCTTCTTTTTTTCTAAAACCTGTTTTAAAATCGAAAGATAAAATATATCCTGGCAGATTTCTGTGTTAATTAATTAAAGTAAAACTGTACTTATTATACACAGGAGTTTTGTTTGAAATATCTTGAGTGGCCAGAAGATTATACATCAGAAAAGGTCAGTAGMAAGGGTCATGTAATCAGGTACTATGCAGTAACTCTAACTTCAGCTTTCATGAAATCTGTAGGTATTGCCTCTGGTGACTTACTGGCAGATGGATAGACCTCTTAAAGAAAGGAAAAATATTGTCATTATTCCAGAAAGGTACACAATCATACACATATAACTGCTATATGGTTAAAGAAACACTTCTTAAAGTGTAATTTATAAGAATTAGAAATAAGTCAGTTATCTACAGGTAGCTACAGCTGTATACAGTAATGTTAGCTTGTCATTCAATTTTTCATAGGATTGTAAAACCTAGAATTCAAAATAGAATTGAATGCTATGAAGTACTGTGGAGGAATGAAAATATAAGTGACACAAGTCAATCAACATTCACTACAATTGAGAACAAACAGGTAAGTGTTTTAAAACTTGGAAATTATTATTTATTGTTTTGTTAAATAGGTGGTATTTGGAAGTCAGAGCAAAAAAGTTGGTCTGTTTAAATTTCTGCTGCGGATCCGATATAAMATTTATTACGTTCACTACCAATGAATATGGGCAAAACTGCACTCTGATTGGCTACTGTAATGCTAAGATATCAACTCATATATCCCTTTAGAAAACATTCATTAATATTAATAGAAAAACCACTGCTTTTAGTGATGACAACCCTCTCAATCTGTCATGTGTGGAATGACACAATCATGAGCTCATTTTAGACTGCAACATGTTTTACTGTGTAGATGTTTGATAAAGTCTACCCTGGAATTATTCAAGATTTTGAAGTTGCTCGACTGGAAAAGAAGAGTACTAGAAAACAAGGTTAATAATAGAATACAAACATTAAATGTGTGCAACACTTTCCACTATTTACTACAAAATAGTGTTCATTAAACAATAGAAAATGATAGAATTAGCATAATTTAGCAGTATTTAGTGGTATTTATGTTGCACAGTTTTAGTGTTTGTACTCTACCTCATTCAGTATTGTAGTAATTTTGTTATAATTATACATTTATTTAGTATTACTAAAACACTAGAGTATTTAATTTATTTATCTACACTTTAGGTAAAGGAAAGAACAAGAAAACCTCAGAAGAAGCTACAAATGAAGACAATCTTGACTACCTYTGTGAAAATCTTGGAAATCTTTCTCTTGTGAATCCAACCATGGTAGCCAAACAAGATGTTAACACAAATGGAGAGGGAGATACAAGCTGCCACCAAGAAGGTACCAGAGGCATGAGTAGCAACAGAGCTAGCCAAGTTGCTAAAGAAGATGTGTTYGTWGATRAAGAGATMAATAATATATCAGATTCCTTAGAGATACCTCTGCCTCTTTCTGAAAGACTTGCRCTRAAGAAAAGGRCAATAGGGGAAGTGGATGAATGCAAAGTGGATGGGAACAAATGCTATGAGATAGATGTGWTMGATGAAGCATGTAAAGTATCRTCAGATTCCTTTGAAGTCCCTCTGCCTTTGTCTGAAAGAATTGCASTSAAGACRTCTACATCAGGGAAAGTGAAGRAATGYRAAGTGGATSGGAAAARAAATAAAGAAATAAATGGRATGACAGATTCTGTTCACAAGTCACTCAACAGAAATGTTCCTATRTGCTCCAAAGAGAATRRRAGTGTACAKCACTCCAGTAAAKCTRAAAWCAAACTGACAAATGCAAAGAKAAARCAAAACATAYTACACTGTGTTGAGTTTTCAAGYAGYGAGTCTGATGGCGAAGACTCCTGGTTTGATGACCCTATCAAAGAAAGTTGCAGTAAAGTGCTATCTTCAACAAGTAAAACTCTGTCAAAAGAAAACATCTCAGGGCTTACAAAGAAAGTTGACTCATTGAATGTAAATAGAAAATTCAATGTTAAAAATAACAAAGGATCTCACAGTGTTTTGAAAGAAAGCTTAGAAGTTCAAAAACTTGAGCAAGTAGGGTTAGCATATGATAAACCATCAAATACTTCAAGGAAAAGTGCATTGTCTTCTAGTGTTGATGTCAATCTAGTTTCTAATCGAGGGGAAGAAACAGGAGAGAGATTTGATGGAAGTTCCAGTAATCCAGAAGAGAATAGGGTTGTTTTGTTGACCCCAGAAATATCAAGAATAAARGATRAATTRCCMAAAATGTTGAGTAACTATGGCAGCCACAWTCCTGTTTCTAAACCTGTTAAACAGGAACTTCAAGTTAAGGAAGYAAAACCTGAAAATTCATTTGATGAAGATGTGTTTTTGGATGAGAATGATATAGTTTTGATAACTCCTGAAAAACATGGAAATCCAGCTGGGAAAATTATTCAAAATGATACAAAATCACGTAAGAACAGTGTTAGTGCTGTCAACAATAGTTTGATAAATGACAAGAAAGGTGATGAAGAGAAAGAAAATAATGTTGAATCTCCTTTGTTTGTGCCTCTACCWCTGRGTGAAAGAATAAGAATTCTTCGCGAGAGTCAAACACAATGAACAGTTTGGAACACTTATGAACACAAATATATATAGGTTGAATTAGATGCAGACTTTCTTTATTAATTTGTGCAAAAAAAAATACAACATTGAAAATCCATTTATTGGACAATTGATTGGTGATTGATTAAAATATTATTGTAAGCAGTATTGTCACTGTAAATATATGAAATTTGAATTATAAAGCATGTATTCCTATTGCAATATGTGCTAATCAATCTTGATAGGAGATTTTTATAGTGAAAAATGAGAAAGACAATTCAAAAATAATATAGAGCATTGTAAATATAGTGTAGCATATAATATACATATATATTAGACTTGAAATAAAACTAAAATATTTCTTGATAATATTTTCCACCTAGTCTCAAAAAATAGCTGTGCACATAATGAAAACATATGTAAAGACAGCATATTAATATGCTTTTGAAAATAAAGCCAGATTTTTTTGCTGATTTACTTCTCAAGAATTTCCACTATAATAATATAAAGAAATACTGTAATTTGCAATAGATGAAATTAATATAATATGAGGACATCGCTCCTTCTAGCTTCTCACAACTGCTTCAGCGTTGAGATGTCTCTGTGCTCCTTAATAGTTTCAAGGAGAAATTACAGATGGTTTTCTGTTTGTGGCAGCCATGTTGGTTGGTCTTCAACAAAATATTTCTCATCAGTATTTGGTTAATACAACCAACATGGCTGTTGGCCTTTCCTCTTTCTATTCATGAGAGTTGGTTGATAGTAAACCAGAGGGCTTGTAGATATAGCTGTAGATTYTGTCTCAACAACTGTGTTTTTTAATGTATTGCATGTAAAACATGCATGAACTATGCCACCAAGAGAACGCAATCAGTACAAGAATATGCCACCATTGGTGACTGGATCCCATGTAATTCACTTTGCCTGAAATTRTAAAATAATAATGATTAAAAACACCATATGTTGAAAGATGCAAAAAATGCAACAGGCCTCAAATAGGTTGGTACAGACAGAGAAAGAATTGGTTTGGTTTGAGGCCTGTCTGAGTCCCTCACAGTTCCCTGCGCCATCTTGAAAGTTAGCCATCCCTTTGCTTTGAAGCGAGATGACTGTTGAGTGTGCAATGATAGAAATGCTTCACACCTACAGACAATTATCTATCAAGGTATCTAATATTGAAAGCTCAACAGTCATTTCTTTTTTTATGCGAAGGCATGTCTACCTTTCAAGATGGCACAGAGAACTGTGAAGGAAACTATTGCTGGAGTTTAAATGTTATCACTCACCTGGAAAATACCTTTCAGGAAATTTGAAAGCATAAAATAACAGAGCTAAGATTCCAAGGATGTACATTACACCAACCTTGGGAATAAACAACTAACAAAACAAGGCAAATTAGAGATTAACAAATACTCTGAAATTTTAAGGACAAAGTATAATGCGATAATTTTGAACAGAATTAAAATGATAAGATATTTTCTCAAGACAGTATTAATACTAGTCTCCTCTTGCAGCTGTTAAGAGATTCGTTCCCAGGTCTCTCCCACCAAGGAGAGTGACCTGGGAACGAGCCTATTAATGGCTGCGAGAAGAGACTACATTGATACTTACYCTAACAAGTTCCACTTCAAATCCCCCATTAAGKAAGACCCAGTGACAGACAGGTATCAATCCATATGCCACCAGGGTGCAGAACAATAGCAGGCGTTTAAAAGCCCAGGATGAYGACAGGAATTGAGGATGTGCTTGAAGGATGAGCGTTAACAATGTCAGCAAACAGACACCTGTTAAATACAGAGTCTGCAAATTCTGAAACACAATTGATATCTTYAATTATTTCTCAATATAATTTATTATTTATATTAATGTTTATTAATATTATCGTCAATTCTTTATTAATTATCTAATATTCAATTAATTTAGCTATTAATTATTTGTTCAGTACTTTGCTGTAAACCTTATAAATTTTTTTATTAATCTGACATATCAACTACTAAGTTATCAACTAAGTGAAGCATCCTTGACTTGTGCAATGCTTGCCCAATTTTATACCACTTAGGAGTAGAATTCTTTGTTTGCTGCCATCTATATTCACATGCAGTATCTTATCAAGGGTTGATAGTAAACAAGGAATTATATTCCTGTATTGCACAATCAAAGGCCAAGATCTGAATGAATTTTGACTATGAAAGAGAACTCCATGTCACTCCCTCTAAATACATCCCTAGTGAATGTAGTGTTACTTACCACATAACAATAGAATCCATAGTACACAGATGGGATGTAACATGTACATAAACCTAGCGATATTCCAGCAAGATCAAGAGAGAACCAGAACTGRAAAACTTTTTCTGAATGACAGCTAAATAAGTGATACCCAGCTGAGAACATCATACAAAGCTACAGAAAGGAACAAAATAAGATCATTTAAACATTGTTTAATAGCCACCCTCAATGTACAGATACAACATCACAACTGCAAAAAAATATTAGCAATAACTGCTGTCAATCAACTGAAGTGCTTTTCTTGGCACATTGTTTGGAAATGTTGATTGACAGCAGCCCATTACTAATTACATGTTGTGAATCAGTTGTCTGGGCTAGGTGTGTAGCAATACAAAAAAATGTGTTTTTAGTAGATGATACTGAATCCATGATAGTTCATTATTACATATTGTATCAATTTATTCCTTAAAATGATTGAAAATGTTAAAAAAGTCTCTTTGTTAAGGAGGATTGCATAAAATAAAATTGTACTTAAAGACTTGAATGATTCATTGTTTTATTGCTACAGCTGGTTTGGTATGGTCATCAGAGATGACCATACTCGTCAGGCAAGTCATAATGAATGAATAACTCGAGTGTTGAAGTTTGCTGGTTGTTTTTAAAMAAACACTAATTTACATCTTTAAGTTATCTTAATTATTTTCTTATTACCTGAAAACCAATTAGTAAAGCAGTAAACACTAGATGATCAGCCAGGTTGGAATCTGTGACATATGGAATCTTGAAGCAGTTATCATATATTAGCAGAACTAAGAAGTAGAAAAGCCCAAGAAGATGAGACCAAATATTGACAGTCTCATTGGACAGCACACATAAACTGAAAGATAAAAAGTGATTTATTAATTTGATTGCCATTATACGATGAAAGCATTTGATGAAATAGCTGTCACAACCTAAACAGGAAAGATGGACTCTGGATTAAAACCATAAGTTCCCTTGGGTGGGAAGCAGGAATGTAATAAAGTGCATACAGAATCACCTGGATCAATGTTTATACCTTTTAAAACACCATTTATAACTTAAATAAGCGCGATATCCATCTGTTATGAACACATTTCCACGTAGAAAATATGGAATTTCGTGATACTCGTACAGCTTCAGCTCTCTTTGTTGTGTTTTGTAAGGATCTTCGATATCAATCATGCCAACATCAATACTGCTGGAGGCCGCCATCTTGGTTTGTCGGCCACTAAAAATCACCTAAATTTGAAGTTAAATCCCAACATCYTGGACCGACAAGTTTCACTATAAAGATTTCCATTGTTTACTGATTTAATTGTTTCCACATTTTATCTAATTGAACTCCACGCCAACGTTAAAAGTGGGCCCGTCTTGACCACATTTCTCATAAAGACAAAGAAGCTTTGAATTCCACGTTTTCACCAAAATCTTGACTCTTACCAATCTTAAGTAATTCCTCAACCAGTTGGCACACAAAAATGTGTTTTAAACTACTTTTCAAGACAAGAATTTTACTTAACAACACCCAAACTAAACACAACAAACACTGAACTTGAAGGGATTCTTTCAGTGTTAATTTCTGCCAGGCGTTACTAGCAACTACCAAATAAGGAAATCGGTTAAGGAGTTTCTCGTGAAGTGACTTATTTTTGGTCAACACAAATAATTGAACRAGATGAATCACTAACTCAAAAAGTTTCCGGTCGCCACGATGTCGAATAAGTCTTTGAGGGATGTTATTCACCCCTCTATGAACGAAGCCCTGAAAAATAATGCTCATAATTTGACTAAATTGATAAAGACTGGTAAGTTTTGTAATAAGCAAGTGGATGAATTCGTGTTGATGTGTTTTGCTTGAACAGAACTAGCGTGAATTCCTCTACATTCATTTGTTCTTTGTTTGATAAACAATTAGCCGATTCTTATTTGCTATTAATCTAAGTCATTTAGGTTTTAAACCCCTTTATTTTGATTTTATTAGCCTTTTTATAAATATCTGGACACAATCACGAAAGAATGCATGTTGTTGTTCTCGCGAACTGCAATAAAAATCCTTTTTTATCCTAGGAATATGTTAAGCATTTACACTTATCATTCTTGAACATTTGGTAATATTGAATCTTCTGAGACTTTCAAATATTTGCTTTAAGATCATGGGAGTTRTAAGTCATGTAAATCTTGAAGTTGTGTCAAAGATCATGTACACCATTGTACTGCGAACAGCTGTAACTTGTCTTGTTCTTGTCTTCAGCGCTGCTAAATGTTCGCGCTTACTGTTCAGAGTGTTGTTGATGTATGTAAATTTACTATCGAAACTGTATTTAGCAGCTTCCTTTTGACTAATGGTAAATAGATATTGTAATCAAAACATTATAAAAATACAGTTTCACTCCCCAGATTCTGCATAATAACAATTGAAGAATATTTTAATAAGATATTAATGTTTTATAATAATCAATACAATTAAATTTTTCGATGTMATAATACTAAAATTTCACAAATTATGAAAATCAAATATTGATTATTTTTATTTTGTTTTATTTGTTTTGGATTTTCAGCTGGTGAATTTGTTCACAATATTTCTTCCGTCAAGAAACAGTATGCCAATGGCCTTATATCTGCAGTAGAAACGTTCAGAAAGAAAAGCGCAGAATTGAAGAAAGATAGGTATAATAAAGCTGACAATCAGTTCTGATTTGGCCTCCTGTAGCAACGTGATTGGTTGATTGTAAATTACTTTGCCGACAGTTCACATTGGTAATATAACCTTTCAATCCAAATTGTTTGATTTCAGGAGTGGTCAAAGTAGCTCAATGAGTACATGGGAGACTTTTCTAGGAGAATATGAAAGAGAAGCACAAGTGAGTAGTCTGAGTCAGCTAGCCAGCTAAGTCTGATATAAACAAATAATTATAATTAATATTATATTAATCATTAATGAAACTATTCATACTTTACCAGATTTGTTTATCCATTCATATGTTTCTCCATTTGTTTGTTCATCCATTCATTTTTTCATCCATTCATTTTTTCATCCATTCATTTTTTCATATTCTATTTTTTTATTCTGGTCTGTGTGTGTGCACACATGCACTGTTTTTTTTTTTCCTCTGAATTGAATATCTTGACTTGAACAGGACATACTCAAATCATGTCAGGATCTCAATCAAAATGTCAGTAAGCCATTAGCAGATGAAGCAGCCAAAAGAAAAGCTTTGTGCAAAAAGGTCTGTACAACTTAGTCTAGTAGTCAACCTCCTTTTAGYAWAACTATTTGCATTGATGCTGATTTGTCCCMTTTCTTGTGCGCAACACAGATTCATTGTCCAAGGTGAAAGGTGCATTTGACAGCCAGTGCTACACCAATATTGTGGCTGATATTCATTTATTAATTATTATTTGATATTTATCTTGTACTTTTAGGTGTTCGCCTTTCGCGAAGCTGGGGAGAACAGAATTGAAAAAGCAGAAGAAGCATGTCAAAAAGTAATATGATATTATTAATATATTATTAGCTATTATTTAGCTTTTGTTTCTTCCATGCCTCGGTGTTGTTTGCACTGATTTTTGGGTGAAGAAACCCTACAAAGCTACCAAATGCTGCAGTCTGGTTTTGATTTCAGTTTAAGAATTGCAAGACTATCCAGCAATTGTCTACCAAATGCAAAACACTTGCATCGATCTCTTGGTGATCAAAAGACATCAAAAATCAAAAGATTGACCATAGACATTAATAACATCACCTTTGGTAAACAGTTGGAATAGAACTTTAACATTAATTCTTCTTCTTTTTAGAACTATAAAGACTACTGCGATTCTTGTTCAAAACTCAACAAAACACAAAATACWGAGCAGGCCAAGGAAGGCAAGCAGGAACACTACACAACACTGAGCCACAATGCACATAACTCTTATGTCCTCCAACTAGCTGCACTGAATAGCATGCAAGATATCTTTTATTCGAACTCTTTGCCTCAACTTTTAGATGTARGTACCATTGGATAGCTCTTAATCTGTTGGGGGAGTAAGAATATCTTATCCATTGACAATTACKTTCKTAGGATTTGCAGTCAGTTTTAGAGGAAGCAACGATATCAATGGCAATAACTTTCAAAGACTGTACAAGGATTGAGAGGGAAAAAGTAAGAAACCTTTTGTGTTTTGTTTTTAAAGTATTAGCTGCATTGTAACCTTAATTATTTCCACAGCACGAAGACTCAGTKAAACGCCTGTCAAACATAGAAAAGCTGTTTGAAATGGTGGATAGTTCTACAGATACTATCAATTTTGTGCAGAACTTAAACAACCCAGGGCCATACATGCCACAGAAGAAGGAATTCCAGAAACCAGATGACGGCCATGTTGTGGTAGGTAACCCACATTTTAATTTTTTTTAGGATTATTATAGGTTGGTACAAGTGCAGGCAGGATTTTCCACCAACTTGTATAACCTGTTTAGCAAGGTATATATTTAAGAAATATAAAACTGCGCACGTGTCTCTGTCCTCTGATATAAACACGGTGGGAGTTCGAAAAACACGAGAGAAGCAAGCTTAGGAACACTAGCGTTGCAAGTGTTTGTCTTGCTTCTCGAGTGTTTTTCAACTCCCAACGTGTTTATATCATAGGATAGAGACACAAGCGGCCGTTTTATATTTCTTTTATAAAAGTTTTCGAGCGAAAAGAAAATTTTGCCGGTAAGCTGTGTCTCCGTCCTCTGATATAAACACGGTCGTCAGCCAATCAGAGCGCGCGTTATATATAAAAAAATTTATAATTCCTGATATAAGTACTTTGGCTGTGATTGTTTTAGACTTTCAAAGGGAAAATAATAAAATGCAATTTTTAAATACAGCCATTTTAATCGATTTTCWATTTGTAATCATACAATGCAAATATGTTGAAAAATTACATCCTTTCCGACAAAATTTTGCGATACAATATCCCAGCTTATCTTAATATCCACGAGTAAAACAAAATACGCAAATAACATAATTACATATTCAAGATGTCGACCCTCACGCGATGTTATAACATCTGAGCCACGTTGTTAGAAGAAAGGAGTTTCACACACAATTTGTGCCACGAATTCCACAAAAACACCAAGAGATATGACACTCCTTACAGCGTGATATTTATTCCACTTCACAATAGTTTGACGCACAAAATCTTCCGATTCTTTCTCGACCAGCTTGTCATAGTCATCGTATATCGGGTCGATTGATGCCGGCTTCAGGATAAAGAGAGTATAAGGGAATATCATGCCCATAGCGCARCCACCGAGCAAAAAGGTCATTCCTTGWGAAGGATTACAAAAGTAGGCTCCAATGGCGCTGGTAGTGCTGACTAAAGCAAGTTCGSYYTGATGAACAGCGGCACGGTTGARRGMTTCGTACCACTGTTTGTGGCATGTTTTCGTGTCCATGGTCATTCTSGCTTTGTGCTCGACCAAGTTGACATAGATAGATGCCCCAGCAAAAGCTCCGACTGCGATGGTAGCTGTTGCCTTCAGCACTGGAAATAGCGTTTCTCCATCGATTTTGACCATTATSGTGGRGAGAGAGAATACTGATGAAAACAACGMAAGAYTCAAGAGCTTCGAGTGTTTGCTTGAGTGGCGAGGTTCTMGGGGTGGGAGGACCTTTGTCCCCAGGACCTCAGCCTCTCGCTAGAKAAGCTTTCAAACTTTTAAAAATTTAATCTATTTGTAAACATGTTGTCATGTTGTATATCTTTTTATGTTAATAAAATTTAATCAAATTAATTATTTTTTGTAATTTAGTTTGGCTGTKTTTTTAGTTATTGTACAATTTTATTTATTGTAGATTTTTATTATACTTTTACAGTTTTTTRAGATTTTATAGTGCAATATCAACGATAATAATGTTTTTTTAAATCATTTTGAAAATCAAATTTAAAGGATTTGCGTAGACAATAGCGGCCTCTCAAAAAAAGGTGTGAACTTTTAGTATCTACAGCTGTGTTGAGTGTTCATAATCACCTCCATACAAATGTGTCTAAAAGAATGGCGTATCATTCAAAATCTGCGMAACAAAAGCCACAAACACAGCTACTGAAACCCCAGTCCGGACAGTATGATAACAGTTCCATTTTTCCACGGTTTCCTGCACAAATTCCTCCGAATTTCGATCAACAATTTTATCGAAGTCGTCATAGATAGGATCAATGGCGACGGGCCTCAGCACAAAWAGWGTGTATGGAAACATAAGAAACACACTAACACCGCCAAGAAGAAAAGTCAAAGACTTAGAAGGCTTGCAGTAGTAAACCCCAGCAGTAGAAATACCAGCAATTAAAGCAAGAGTTCGCTGATGACGCCTTGCGAGGTCAAAGCTCTCYTTCCATTGCYTGTGACACATTCGTGGYTCGAGTTGCATTCTYGACTTGTGCTCAACGAGGTTCATGTACAGGCAAGCTCCGGCATGGAGCCCCATTGATGTTGTAGATACAGCCTTTAGGATAGGAAGTATAGTTTCACAGTCGATTTTCATCTTGAAAGAKGATTTTTAGTCGAGTTTGTTCGTCGTAACCTCACTCTATTCTTCTTCTTCCGCTTTAGYGACCRCGCACGCACATATGAATATACACAGGAATCCCACGCAAATATTGTGGATTTTCTTTCTATTCTTGTTTTTTCTTTTGTTTCCATATTTTGACTTTTAGTTTATATTCTTTTTATTATAGTCTGTTCCAGATAACAAGCTGTCTTTAAACCAAACCACAGAGGATGTCTTGAGAAGAAAATATATTGCTTTAGAAAAAAAGGTTGTGACTCTGATATAAAACCGATATTAAGTTTGGACAAAAATATGATAAAGAAAATTTATTCTCATTTCAGTCTAAACATTTATCTGGTACGGTAGAAAAAGAAAGAGGTACTTTAAGATCAGTGAGAGGATTAAGAGACAGGTAACCATTATTCACGTTGCTTCCATTCTTGTATTATTTTTCATTCTTTAGTTTTGTCTTGTTTTTCTTTTTGGAGCTACATTTTCCTTTTTYTTGCATATATAGCTACATGCAGAACCCATCRTATGGCAAAGCAGAGGATGTYGATTCCAATATCATAATTCAGATGAATGAAGTTCGGGTCAAAGAGATGCATAAAGGAGTTACTGATGCACAGGTACACCCCACCCCCTCCCCCTAAACAAAACTGTGTTCCACTGTATAAACATGCCGCATTGTCAAAGTAATATACAGTACTTCATTTATTAAAATTTAATATAGTTACATGTTTATTAAATATTGATTGCTTCTGTGCTGGAGCAATAACAAATGCTCAAACAGCAAAAGATCAAAAGGATTAATCAGAACCTAAACTATACCCCAAAAATACAAAGAAACCTCACCGTTATACAATGGATTGTGGTACATTCAGACTGACAAGCTGTTAATATTACCTGATTTTCTTTAGATCAATCTCTTCACTCCTGACATYAAGCTAAACCTACACATCTCTGAGAGCGATCTGCGGGATGATGAATATGAYGATGATGARAGCYTACTGGACATATATGACAACAGAAAGAGTGTTATCTCCAACGTCATGGCCAAACCAAAAACCATGCGAGCTGCTAAGCACGACTTTGTCGAACACACGTTCAAAAAGCCTGTGTTTTGTCACTATTGTAATAAACTCTTAAAAGGTGATTTGATGAGCATGAATTTTGGTTAAAAAAAATGGAAAATATCCTTTAGTTACGTGTTATGCTTTTCTATTTTACTCTCCCGGAAAGTGAACGCTTTCCACTTGTGTCTAGCCTGCGTAGAAACCCGTTTCTCCGGCCCAAACTCTCTCGGAACGGCTAGGAACGCCTGACTACGCAGGCTTACTTGTGCCAACCTACTCAGGGGGGATCCAGCTGGTGGGTRCAGGGGGRTGCAMACCTCCTCCTGAGGTCTGTATCCTTCAATACTTTCCTTATTTTCTATCTTCATGATAATGATTTTTGTGGGGTGCACTTTCTCCTGAGAGCCCCACACCCCTCCCTGAGTAAAATTCTATATCCACCCCTGCTACTCCACTCCCTTAGCTTTCTTGACAGCTGTACGGGGTATTGTGGGGGGGGGGGGGGAACTTACGGAGTATGGGGGGTTGGGAACTAGCTCTTAAAGGGTGGGAAAGTACAAATCTTTTATCCAAGTATCTCAGAACATAACCAATTTTTTTCTCTATTTATTTTTGCAGGTTTTTTGAAGCAGGGTGTGAAGTGTAAAACATGCAGAATGTGTGTACATGCGAAATGTCAGGAGAATGTGCCGAACTGCTCAGGTTCACCCGTAAGTWCAAACTAGTATTCTTTTCTTATAGAACAGGGAAGGGTTATGCATATGATGGCCCCGCTACTGGTGAATTCACCAAAAATTCACAATCRGAAGTGGCAAAGCATATCTTTAAAGGCCAGTTTGCACTTGCGATTTTTGAAGCGCAGTTCTCGAGGCGATCGTCGCGCGACAATCGCCTAAGTTTCAAACATGCTTGAAAGTTGGCTGCAATTTGGAGGCGATTTTCCATCGTTGCAACAATCGCAGGGCTGTTTACACGTGCGATTTTAGTTTTTAGCGTTTTTTTAGTTTTTAGCGATAGCAAAGTGGCGATTATCGCGCTGCAAAAAGCGCAAGTGTAAACGGGCCTTAACTGTTTCACAAAGCGATCTGTCTGTCTGTCTGGTCTGGAGGATCTCGTATTTTATGCCCGGGGTGGGAACTCCCTAATATCAAAGGGCGGGGGTCCTCGGCGTCCCTTTTAGGGTTTGAAATCAGTATTTTGGTCCCGCTTAGGGTGATCATGACAAGAATTCCTACCAACTGTGTTTTGTGGTCCCTTTTAGGGTATACGGCGACCCTAAGCAGTCATAAAATGGCAACGTCGTCATAAACTCAATTCGAGCCGACGGTGTTCGATGGTTGTGTAAAAACACAAATAAAATCGGTAAACCAAAACAAAATGACCTGTTATTGATTGGTCCCTTTTAGGGTTGAAATTTCAGCACTGCCACGCCCATCATCTCACAATAGAGGTCCCTTTTAGGGATCATTTTCACAATCTCCGCCGAGGACCCCCGCCCTTTGATATTAGGGAGTCCTCCCCGGGATTTTATGATAGCATAGACGCAGCAAATAGTTTGTTTACTATCACTGATATAGTAAAKATCGACCGTCTTTTTATTTACAGTTGACAGGGAAGCGAAAGACTGGTACTGTCAAATCAACAGCAAGCTACGATATGGATGACGACTTTGATGACTTTGACGATGCAACATACAGTGACGTCGATGAAGCCCCAACCCCTCCCATGCAAAGAAAACCTTTGCCACCCAAACCTAGTGATCCTGGGATCGTCAATGATTTTTATGGTAAGTGAAATCTCATTCAGAGCCCACGTTCCTCATGGTTTGCGATAAGAAAACAAAAAGAGGCGGTGTAGAGCAAGAGGGACGTTGGCTCTGGATGAGATTTTGGTAAGAAAGATTCACGTTTGTCGTTTATTGCGCATATGTGATTCATGTCTTTTACCTTTTTTAGATACAGCCGAAGAGTGCTTAGCAGGGGTATGTACTGTGATTGGTTGTATAAGTACCCCAGACTCGTACCCAGTCGTTACGCTTTATTATTCGATAGGAGGGGTTGATGGGAAGAATAGAAAGAAAAATAAGGACGCTTCGTGCCTTTTCTTCGGCCTTCCCTTAATGCATTGCGCGCCGCTTGGGAGAAGCGACTGGATACGAGTTTGTGAGTACCCTCGTAATCTTCATCAGCCTCGTCCCCAAACCCTTATTGGTTGAATTAATATTGATTAATGTTCTCAGGACTCCTATGCTGTTGCTTTATACGATTATGCTGGAGAAAACGTAGGAGATCTAAAATTAAGGTAACGAACAGCTATATTCATTCAAGCTTYTACTGTTTGTACTCGAATGACAATAAAGAGATGACCAGTCTTCAACTAGTGTGAGCTGTGTCGGTGTAACTTCGGARCTGCGTCGGTGTTACATCGGAACTACATCGGTGTAAACATTGGAGTTTTATCGKAGCTGCACCAGTGTTTCTTATAAAGAAGTTGTGATAAAATATTAAACGTTTAAAAAACCCTTAATTTAACTGTCCGCCGTCTTAGTACAAATAGAAAATACTTTGGCGAAGGCATGAAGCGTTAGCTCATTATCTTAATTGATGCTGTTCTAACACCTTTAGTGCAGGCAACAGAATTACTCTAACAAACACGTCAGATCACAACTGGTGGGAAGGCAAGTGTAATGGAAAATCGGGATTCTTCCCAGCATCCTATGTCCAGGTGAGGCAACACAGGAAACCCAAGCCTAACACTTACGAATACAAAACTCAATTCGGGATTAACGTTTCTCCCACAAGTCAAAAAATTAAGCTTGCGCTGGAGCGACTTTATATTGGCAAACCCAGCAAGCAAAACTATGGCAAGCTGGCTGCCTGAATTTGAAGTTTCCAGTTAAGAATAGGAGGTCATAACTTAATCAGTTTTTAATGTTTTATTTTTTGTTATATTAAGTTGTGTTTGTGTTTTTAGACAATACAAAAAGGTGATGTTATTCTACGATGTTTATTTGACTTTAATGCCCAAGAAAAAGATGAACTTTCTGTTGCAGAAAACCAGGTATTGCTATACTCGCTCCTAAGTCTTTGCACTATTCTCTGCTACGCTAGGTTGATGGGAAGGTGATAGACTTGCTTCTACTCATGCGTAGTGAATTCAGTACGTGTAAGATTCGACGTTTCATACGGCGCTAGAACTGATCGTTTTAAACCGAAGGGAATTCTAAAAAAATAGATGCACAGAACTTTGAGTGAATKCCCTTAATTCCTTCCGTAGATTGTCGTCCAGGTCGCTGATGAAGGCGATGGTTGGGTCATAGGACGAGCGGGCAATGTCGARGGAGCCATACCGTCTACGTACGTAGAAAAGATATAGAATAATGGACCATATCATGTGACTCRTACCCAGTACCACAGCGATACCGAATTTCAATTGAGTGGAGAAATCACAGCCTGGAACTAGTATCCAAAGGGTTTAATTGGATCATAAGAGGAACCATATCGTCATTAGACGTAAAGAGAATTCAAAATAATGGGCCATGTCACCTGACTTGTACCCAGTGCTAAAACTACGCCATTTCAAATAGAGTTGAAAGTGCGTTRATTTACAAATATTACGTTAACCTTGATATTTTTGGAGGTTTTTCTATTGTTAAACCTCTAATACATTTACCATTTAGAATCTACGATGAGAACAGTTTTAAAATTCTCAGTTTTTTCTAATCATAATGTTATAGATTTTTATGGATATTATTATTTTTTATCTGTAATAAAGCAATTTGTTCGAATACACCAGCTCGTGCATTTTCTTCTTGATGTGGTTCACCGTGGAAAATGAAACAGCCAGAGAGCTAAATTAACTGATATGTTTTATAGTTAGCCTCTGTCATTTAGTGTTACAATGGTAAGTACATGTAAGGAGAAAAGCAATAAAACATAAGGTAAAGAAAATAATTACTAAAACAATAGTTTGAAATTATATGAAAGGTTAAGGACAATTGTAAGGAGACAAAATCAAATATGAGTTAAAAAATCTGGACTCTAAGCTATCCTATAGTCTTCCTTGCAGTGGATGGTCCAGTGTCCATCTTTACAGGTTTTCATGATCTTTATTTCTTTCCTCCTAACCACCACTGKGTAGTTGAGTTCCCGGTCTCAACGCATTTGAAATCTGGATGGTATTTATTATAATATCCAAAGCAAGCCTCGCCGCTTATTGCATCTTGTAACGGTTCAAAGCCGCAAAGTGGTGGTTTACTATTCATGGGATATCCAATATGAAGATGAAAAACATTCATCTTGTGCCATACTGGTACCGTGACATTGCGAAWTTCCTGGTTTCTAATATTCATGTAAGAAAACCTCTTGCACGCACCATTATGCAAGTCTCCCTCTGTAATGATGTCAAAGTCACTTAAATACCCAAGAACATAGTCAGGCGTSARGATACTCGTACGATTGGGAAAGTTACATGTGGCTCGAAACATGGTTGAGTTGTCATCGTGGATTTGMGTCATYAAAGGGAGTCCTACCCTATAGTCGCCCCAGTGTGASTCTGGTGACTTTTCGCTGTTTTGACTATAACGTTGATGGAACGCTTTAATTTTGTATTTATAGTTCATATCTCTGGAAAAAGATTCTATCAAGGTCCAAGCGATGTTKGGAGYCTCGAAGTCACAATAGATTTGTCTTACCGTGCCATACTTATTGTTAGTCACTRTGTAGACTCCGTCTCCTGGGAAGATACCATCCGGTGCAGACTTCAAGATGCTTAGACAAGAATTTGGAGTCTTTTCGCATACTTTTCCCAAAAACATAAAGGGACATGTACAGGTGAACTTTTCTTTAGGTGATTCGCAGCGCTCTTTGCATTTTCCTCCGTTCATGCAAGGCTGAGATCGACAGCAGCCATTATAGCAAACACCTGGTGGAACCATGTGGGATTTCTGTGGATACAAAAAAAAAAAAAAAAAAAAGAAATTACGTTAGTAAAGTATAATTTCTGAGTGTGTTAAAAGCAGTAGCATACCCCTTGGTACATTGTCTGCTTGAGATCAAAGTGTACGTATCCTGGCGCATCTGTTAAGGTTTTGGAAGTCTTGTCCTCATCCAGCAACTCGCATCTTGCATCTTTCATCTGGCACGCCTTACAACGACAATCTTGGACACAAGATGAGTAGCACTTGACTGGATCATCAGTGGTGATGTTCTTGTAGGAGTATCCCTTGAGATGTTTTCCATGGAAGATGTCTTGGGGTTCTGGGAAAAGTCCTCCAGAATAACAGGTGCCAACGCAGTGAGACCTCGAGCTAACGCTTACATCTGGGAAACAAGCTACCATTGTTACCAAGAAGCTGTTTATTGCGATGGAGTTGAGTTTCATTGTGTTATTTGACTATTACTGAAATAAGCGTTGAGAAAATAAAGTTAACATCACTATACATNGGGTGTTGCAGTGTATTTTGATTATTTCTATTCTACTAACCACCACTGTGTGGTAGACTGGGGTGTTGCAGTGTATTTTGATTATTTCTCTTCTCCTAACCACCACTGTGTGGTTGATTTTGGCGTTGCAGTGCATTTAGATAGTCCGTCAGTTATAAAATAACATCCAAAGCTGTCAACACTCTCCTTTTGAGACGGTATATTGAAGTCACAAGCTTTCCCAATTATCTTGTGGTCCCTATTGCTGACATCGAGGTGGATGTGAAATGGCTCCTGGGAGAATTTTGGATGGTAGCCAGAACCGCTGAATGCTGTGCAATTAGAGCAAGTGTGCCCTTGGATATCAATAAAGTCGAATCTCYTACATTCAAGCACATTTTCGTTTTYTAAGATATTCCACTCACTCAAGCTACCTATTAGAAGATCAGGAGYCAAAGAATCTCGATTCGGGAAGTCACAAGTGGCTCTAAACAACGTTGACTTAGAAATTAATARATTCATTCTGRACTTGGRCAAACGGTAMGACTCCCAGTTTGGTTTAAGATWCGATACTTKATRATTAATATAAAAAGGCTTGAACAYRAATAACGARTTGTTTTCCAAGGAGAAGGATTCGATCAGAGTCCATGCTCGGTTAGGACTTGAAAAGTCACAAAATACTGGAGTGYTGWGGCCATTWKGCCWGATTGTGTRAAAACCGTCTTGGGGTACAACCTTTGACGTCATCATGATCTCGAGGCAGGACTCCTTCAAACGTGTCTCGCATATCTTTCCAATATATGCRCTYYGGCATTTGCAAGTGAACTTCTTTTTAGGCGACTCACAGTGCTCTACGCATGTCCCTCCGTTCATGCAAGGCTGAGATCGACAGCAGCCATTATAGCAAACACCTGGGGGTACCATGTGGGATTTCTGTTGATACAAAAAAAAAAAAAAAGAAAAGAAAAAGAAATTACGTTAGTAAAGTATAATTTCTGAGTGTGTTAAAAGCAGTAGCATACCCCTTGGTACATTGTCTGYCTGAGATCAAAGTGTACGTATCCTGGCGCATCTGTCAAGGTTTTGGAAGTCTTGTCCTCATCCAGCAACTCACATCTTGCATCTTTCATCTGACACGCCTTACAGCGGCAATCTTGGACACAAGATGAGTAGCACTTGACTGGATCATCAGTGGTGATGTTCTTGTAGGAGTATCCCTTGAGATGTTTTCCATGGGAGATGTCTTGGGGCTCTGGGAAAAGTCCTCCAGAATAACAGGTGCCAATGCAGTGAGATCTCGAGCTAACGCTTACATCTGGGAAACAAGCTACCATTGTTACCAAGAAGCTGTTTATTGCGATGGAGTTGAGTTTCATTGTGTTATTTGACTATTACTGAAATATAAAAGCGTTGAGAAAACAAAGTCAACATCACTATACATCCTGTTAT